GTAGCCCAAGAACCCGATCTTCCTTTCTGGCCTGATTGGGGAATCCCCGACGCCGAGAAGTTCTGTGAGGGCCAGGTGTATCCGGATGTTTTGGAAGAGCATAGGAGGATGCTGGTCGGGCTCAGCCCCCTTTTCTCGACGATGAAGGAGATTGGGGAAGAGGTTTTAGACCTGGCAGATATTAGAGGCGTCGAGGGTAGGGATGTTCCTTTATTGTTATTTTTTGAAAGATACCCTGACCTTGTTGCTCGTTCTAAAATGTTTGTAAATATTTGCAGGTATGTCTTTTGATCCTCGTGCTCTCCGGAACTTTGTCAGCACAAGGGGAGGCGCCCCTCCACAGGGGCAGCCCTCGAGGAAGAAAAGCAAGAAGAGGCCTCGAGGGGGTCCTGAGGGTGCGAGGGGGCTTGGCGAAACTTCTCGAGGACATCCAGAAGTCTCGACCCCTCTGCAACCGAACCTCAGATCTCCGACTCCTCGGGTCGTCACTCCTCGGCCTCCTTCTGAAGTGGTTGACCTCGAGGATGAGCCGTCTCTCACTGGGGACTTTGGGACTTGTCACCTCGCTCCTGAGCTTGTAAACAAATACAAAGAGGAGGTCAAGCTCGAGGATGGGATGAAGGTCCTCGAGGGTCTTACAGTGAAGGTAATCTTCGAACTTTTGACTTTAACCTCGAGTTTATTGGTCGAGCTTAACACTTGACATTTTCTTCATTTTTTCCAGATGTTGAGTATAGCTCGAGGACTCTCTCTGCAAGGGCTCGAGGAGGCCAAGAGGGCAGCTGGGGTCGAGACGTCCATGGCCTCTAAGGACAGCAGGATTCAAGACCTCGAGGCCCAGGTCGAGGTTTTACTGAAGGAGCGTGATGACGCAAGGAGGGAGGCTGCGAAGGCCAGGGATGACTTGGTTGCAGCAAAGGATGAGGTCGAGGGGGCGAGGCTCGAGCTCATCCAGAAGACAAAGGATTTCGGGCGCGAGCTCGAGGCTGTCAGGGAGAGGGCTTGGGAGGAGTTTAAAACCTCCGAGGACTGCGACAAGATAAAAGGGGAGTACGCGTCGGGGGCATACTTCCATGCTTTGAAAGAAGCCCGGGCCTTCCTTAGGCAGAAGTTGCCCGACGTCACTCCAAACGACCTGAAGACGGTGCCTTCCATTGCTGATACATTGGAGCTATCGGGTTCGGAAGATGGAGGAGGATCGGGTGGAGATGATGAGGAAGGTCTTGAGGACGACGTTGAGATCGACATCAGCAACCTCGACCCTCCTCTTGGCCACATTGGATGACTTCCCCACCCCGATCCTTTGTAATTTTTTGGTTTAATTTCGACAATGTAAATTGATCGAGGATTATGTATGTTTAGTTAATTTATTCGAACTATTTATCTCAACCCCTTGGACTCCATATAATCGAGCAAACAAATTCGAAACTTACTGCTCACGCGATATTGAAGTGTTTACTCGAGGATAGGGATTAAAAGGTGAGACGAACATTCTCGAGCACAAATAAAAAATATGATGTGTCATTCTCGAGGACCGTAAATCTCGAGCATAATTAACCTTAAAAAATGAGGCCGTTCTCGGGGACTGTAATCCCGAGCACAACTAAACTTTTAAAACTGAGTGACATTCTTGAGGACTGTAAACCTCGAGCACAATTAATCTTAAAAAATGAGGCCATTCTCG